GGACGAGGATGTGTATTCCTCCTTAATATAGAGTGCCACAGGTGTTGTTGGGGAACTCTGAATTCAAGTGGCTTTTAAATGTTTCTTTGCTACCTTGATCCGAATACTGGTAAGTGCTTCATGGAGGTGGCTGTAGTTATCCTGGTTTATTTTATTGTGGGTTTCACTAGTTATGTCACACATTTCCACATCCTGTAGTGTCTTCTGCATATGTATAACTTTACCCATGTGAGTAGACCTATTGTTGTCCATAAATATTAGCAGGAATCAAGATTCTTCAGAGAAGGGATCTTGTCACCTTATATATATCTGCCAAATATTACTCTCTTTTTGTGGTGCTGTCAGCCTAATAAGCAGTTCTTGGATGAATGTGTCACTACTATTGTCCTTTCAGAATCTGTCTGATTCCATGGCGACGTATCTGGAATTTATTCAGCAAAATGAAGAGCGAGATGGGGTGCGTTTCAGCTGGAACGTGTGGCCCTCCAGCCGTTTGGAGGCCACAAGAATGGTCGTGCCCTTGGCGTGTCTGCTGACCCCATTGAAGGAGCGTCCAGACCTGCCTCCTGTACAGTATGAACCAGTGCTTTGTAGCAGGCCAACTTGCAAAGCAGTACTGAACCCACTTTGGTAGGCATTCTCATCTATACATGTTAATAATGGATGAAAATAGAGTTTATGAGAATCTGTTTTTTTTCTTGAGCTCCACCACTTTCTGTCTCCTCTCAGGCCAATGTCTGTCCCAAGAGACTCTCTAAATAGAGTGTTCAGAGACTTAAAATGGCTGTGCAATTCATGATAAGTAAATTGGGCCATTGTCGCTCAGAGTGGCCAAAGTGAGAAAGAAGAGATGGGATGCAGAGACCAGTGATTACCCAGGGCTGAGATAGAGGGGGAACTGTTAAAGGAAAACTAGAATCAATATGCGAACAATCCTGTTATCTTCACTGAGAAATTAACCTTACCTGATATAACTTAATTAAACAAAAATATTGATTAGTTTCCACATGCCATAACGGTGCACTCATTAGATTTGATTTTGTTAGAGAGGCTAGAAACCAAACCAATACACAATATTTTTGGATATCAGCTAGATTCAATATAAGCAGAAAGGTTTTGTTTGTAAATTTGCTATTATTTTAGAGAGGGAAGCACTTTCTCATCTTAAACTCCTAGTCTGGTCATATATCTTACGGTGTATTGGGAAGGGGATAGGGAGATGTCTTTTCAGATTGTACAGCACGTGTCCTTGACTAGGGCTTCTCAGGTACTACTGCAATTACAAGTAATGAGAACATTCAGTGTGCTCAGAAATATTGCTTTCCTTTGTGTGTATGTATGTGTTACCTCCTGAATTAGAAGCAGTGTAGCCATTTTCAAATGGTGCAGTACATAGCTTAATTGGCTCTGCATTTTCACAGTGCCGATTAGCTCACCTGCAGTGCCTTGCTCTTTTGCTTTTGGTTTATTCAGCAGTAGCTGCAGTTCGAGTAAGCTGATGTCTGGCACAGTACGTTTGAAGGACAGACATGCATTATGAGTCTGATGCCCTCTAACCCCACTATTAACATTAAAGGGTATATATTGTGGATTTAAATTTTTTTCATTTACACTAAAGTTGGAATGTTGTTATAGCTGTGATGGTCCAGGAAATGTGTGAGAAGCAAGGATTTTTTTGTGATATCTTTTACTAGCCCAACTATATAGTTGGGAGACCTGTTGGACAAGCTTTTGGGCATCAAGCGCCCTTCCTCATGTTACTTACATTTTACCTTTAAGCCATGAGAAGTGGTCAGCTATGAAATTTATGCCTTTGTACTGACTGTTCTGTCTTTGCTTTCTTCTAGTCAAGTGGATTATCGAGCTAAGCTCTGGGCTTGTAACTTCTGTTTTCAGAGAAACCAGGTAGGTTGGAAAAGTGCCTTGTTCTTTCATTTATCTTATTACCAGATCCCTTCTTACCTCAGTGTATTTAACTGAAAGCTTCACTTAGTGACGGATGTGAAAATAAGCAAACGTTTTTGGTAACCAGATTCTCTTCCCTGGCCTCTTCCTTAGTGTGTTCCAATCAGCACTGTCTGCTAATGAGCATGGTGGATAAAATACTCGTCTCATCACATCTATCTTTAGGTCAGTTTAGCCAGCATGCAAGCTGTATGCAGCAGATATGAAGCTGGTTTTGTGCCATGTGTTTAGGGAATGCTCCGTATGTATGATGTGAGGACAGGGCACATTGTCCTCTGTTCTTTCTGAATAGGAAATTTCTGTGCTGGAAGTGGACATCTTGCCATCAGAAACATTACATCATATGACTATAGATAATCTCATCTGATAAGTAGGTGGCGCATAAAACTTCCATCCTAATTGAATTCTACTTCATAGCTTTCTACCCACTGCTGCCTACCATTGTCATCCATTCATAGTGAAACAACTATGCCATAAATGCCTTTATTCAGCTAAAAATGTTTGTTGCAGTACCAGCAAATAAGTGATTCATTTGTAGGTATTTGAATTAAACACTTTCCCCTATTTTTATCTCGCACGTCATAACCATTATAATGCAGAAGATGCCCTTGTAATTGTACATATAATTAGCAGTTAATTTCCTTGCCCTAATGCTCCGTTGTTTTTTTCAGTTTCCTCCTGCATATGCAGGCATATCTGAGGTGAATCAGCCAGCAGAACTTATGCCTCAGTTTTCCACCATCGACTACATTGTTCAGGTAAATTGAGAATGGTCAGGTCTGAAGTTCCCAGGGAACATTTGAAATGTACATATATGCTGAAAGATGTGTTTTAATTATGATGATTTGACTGAATTGTTTCCATGAGTACAGTGCATTTGGTTAATTAAGGAGAATGTAATATCCCTCTTAGTTGTCTGATCTCTTGGTTACACAATGTATTTCTATCTGGTTAGCTTAAATTAGGTTCTTGTAATTTGTGTATTCATCTAAGGTGAAGCCTGGAGAGGGAAATTATATTTCCTTAATGGTCCCCTCCTTGGTATTTGATTTTAATTAAGAGAGAAGCTGTGTTGTGAAACTTGTGGTTACCTGCCAACCTACTGACTTCAGTAGGTGTCTCTGATGACTTCAGATTAAGTCACAAGAGAGATAAAGCCTAATAGGGCTTGCTTTGCCTGCTTTGTGTCTTGTTCTTGGTACTTCCAGTTATGTTAAAACTAGCCTAGCAGAGTACTGAGGCTCTAGAGGAATTCTGTGATAGCTCAGAAAACTGGCATTTTATTTTGCAGAGTCCTAACCCTGTGCATTTTTCTTTTGCAAGACTTAAGGGTTTCCTTATTTTTATAGAAATATTTTTACCATATTTACAAAAGTCTGAAATGCTTTTGTTTTGTGATAGCTCCCAGCTAAAGGAGGGGGACAGAATGTGTCACTTGAGTATATACAGACCCACTAAACCTGTTTCTTTCTACATCAGCGGGGTCCTCAGACACCGCTCATCTTCCTTTATGTAGTTGACACGTGTTTGGAAGAGGAGGACTTGCAGGCACTGAAGGAATCCCTGCAGATGTCCTTGAGCCTATTGCCCCCAGATGCTCTGGTAGGGCTGATCACTTTTGGCAGAATGGTCCAAGTTCATGAGTTGAGCTGCGAAGGGATTTCCAAAAGCTATGTGTTCAGAGGGACCAAAGATCTGACAGCTAAGCAGATACAGGTATGTTCTACGCTCCTTTCCTGCTCTTAATACAATGGGTAGCTCCAGTTAAGTGTTTTTACACTTCATTTCCAATCCTGAGCTAGTAGAGAGCAAAGGAGAGATGGTTCAGTGGTAAGGGCTCTCTGCATGTGTGGTATTTTTTTCCCTTTCCCTTCACCTCTCCTGAAGCTCTTGAAGTGATTGTCTACCTCAGTGTTTGGGAGAACTGGTACCTATTACTCTCTAGGTACCACTGTAACACACAACTAACAATAGGTCATTAACCTTGCAATGACTTGTGTATAAGTTTCTACTGTACCCCGCACTTCCTGTGTGATCTTGAGCAGCACACTTAGCTTTTTTGAGCTGTCGGTCAAATGGGCATAATAGTAACACTCTACCTCATAGAGCTGTGTGAGGAAAAATGCATTAATAGCTGCAAACCATGCAGATACTGCACAGATGGGAGCCAGCTGTGTACCTGAGGTAGATGGATAGGTGGTAAATAGGTTTGATGTTTCAGTAATAAGTTCTTTGCCCCTCTGTGCCTTGTGTTCTGTAGGATATGTTGGGTCTTACGAGGCCA